ACTATACTTCACCTTATGGCCTTTCTAACTGATTTCGACGCCTCTTTATTAGACCATACCCTTAATAACATACTCTTAACTGATATACTGATATCTTCAACCCCTCTTTTCCTGACTCATTCTTGTGGACCTTTTCATAGATTCCCTATTTAAGTTTCATCTTGGGGGTTTCCTCAAAAAGGCTGATTATCTCGTGCAACCTTACATATTCTTTGCTCTAAGACTCCTATAATGTCCCAATCCCCCTAAGATTTTTTTCTCACATAAACGACCACTTAACACGTTGACCGCGGTCATTGCCACAGACTGAGGTATACATTTGAATCATACACATAGACCGGCTGTCACTTGGTAAACAGTACACACAGACCGCGGGTGAAAACCTGTAAAACCGTGATCATTTACATTGTAATACGCTACAATCGTGTTTGTAAATAAGTTATTCTTGTTTTTTGTTTTTTTGTTTTTTATAACCTTTTGTAATGTCGCATATTTTCGACGCCCGGTCTACAGCGAAGGTAATAATGAAAATTATCATAGTTTTCTTGAAATAGACCAAACGTCACATATATGCGACAGTTCATTTTTGTTTGTGTTTTTAAGTAAAAGTAAGTAAAAAAAACCAGATTATTCAAGAACAGTTTATAACTGAACAAATATAAAAGCTACATAGGATAATGTAGCATACATACACACAGTGATGCAGAAAAGTAAAGACCAGTTTTTCCAACTACCATATGACGTCACCAATCATGATATCCACAGACCAAGCGACGCAGACATCCTTAGATGGGCCATAGAGTTGTGGAATAAGGATTTAAGGTAATAGGAACACAAGAGAGTGGAAAGTGGAATACCGGATTGGACTGTGAATCACTTGACCAAGGAACACTGGAATGCGAAACGTAGGTCACTAAGGTCAGACATCCCTGTAGACCACTGCAGGGAGTTCAGTGCCTTCAAATAGACCGTTACAAAGATATAAGCATTTTAATAACATTAGAACCCCGACACAAATATGCGACGGCAGTCTATTTTAATGTGACTAGCCGTCGCATATATGCGACGGGAGTCTATGGGTGGAAACCGGCCGTCGCATATGTGCGTCGCTGGTCCATGTGAATAAAAAATTTCGTACTATTACAGTAGCGAACGTGTTAACCCCTTGGGGCAAGAGAGTCAATACTTTTAATACTGGCAGTCTTAAGCCTGCAAAATGAGCGTAGCTCTTTAACGCAGAGAGAAAGTATTCTAAAGTAAAAAAGTTGCTAATAGAAGCTGTTCTTGGTTAAACATGGTTATGTTGGCCAATTTACGTGTGTTTTTGGTTGTTCTCTTTCCATTTACGTAGTACTATTTGGTAATTTGGTAATTACTTATTTCATGTTTTCTTATAAATTCTTATTTCTTAAATTTGTATCTTTGTACAAAAAGTTATTTCAAAACAAATTTCCAGAGGACACTCTCTCAGTAAGGATGAGTCAATCATAACAAAATGCCCAATGTATAGACACTCGCCGATCTTGTCAACTTCCACTCAAGTCCACCGATTATTTTATGGTGACCTCTCCCACCAAACTCTACCAAAGACAGGTGAACCCTCGTGGATTGCAAACCAGAAACGGTCGAGACGTGATTCGAACCCTAAATCTACGATATTGCCTTTTGGACTGTTAGACAATCTCCTAAATTGCTTGGCCATTCATCAGAAATAGCGGTCTACCACACTAAAACGATGGTCAACAAAAGACCAGTGAAATAAACTTAATTTTCTTGGATGCAGAATATGTCAAGGGAAAAATCAATAACAAAGCATTGTTTCCTTAGTCTATGTCTATAGTGTTCAGAAAGAATAAAGGCGAGAGAAAGCATTACATTTTCAGGACGGCATAACAGGTTACAGGGGATAGGATTTGGAAGAAAAAGATTTGTTTACGTTGTTACCCTTTTTAATTGAATTAAGAAATATTTTTGTCTTATAGCATCAACGCTGATTATACAATGTTTCTGGTATTTGTAGGCATGGGTCCAAGTGTAATTTTCCTTATTATGAACCTGTTTGCACGTCCAGTAAACTAACTAGCATTTGGTAGGCTTGCTGCAACAAATGGTCGATGATTTACATTTTATAGACATTGAACCTAGCTTGATCACAAGTACAGTGCAGAAGTTATCCTACATGTACTATAATCTTTCCTTACTTCTGGTCATACTTATTTTTAATTTCGATACTTTGTGCCCTTTTCCTTCACGTCCACCCCATGTCCAACCACTCTGTTATCACCACTTTATCAAACCTATATAAAACTCATATTTCTGGTTTACTATAGTTATCACTAGTTCAGGCTGCATTTGTTATATCCTATACTATTTGTAAAGGATGACCGTAGGAAATCTCAGAGGTGCAAAACGTATCAAGTTCTAGGAGTCGCGGAAAAGGACCCCCATTTCCTGTAATCCAACTACTAGGAGGTCACGAATTGTGAATATTTATAGGCATGCACTGTGGATGTGATATTCCCTGGTGTAGATTAACGTCCGCACTAGTGAGTATTACGACTATCCGCAGTACTATCCTGATAATTAGACCAATTCGTATATACCAAGGAAAAAATGTGGTTCAGATTCCACTATAAACTGTAGGTCCCTTAGTTGCCATTAGCTGTATGGGCTATTAATTAACAGCTGTGTCTAAGGAATGTCTTTCTTAGTCACTAACAAGACTACAAGATCGTTCCACTCATCATACACTCATCTCCATTCATACTTGGCTTAAAATACCTACTATGTATGGTCGCCATTTCATCGAACAGTATTAACAGTATATATTTCTTACTATTTAAATACAAAACACATGGTTGAGCATTCTACAATCCTTCAAAAACGTTATCAGCATAAATTATTTGTCACTACAATTTTTATTTTGTGTTAACCAAGAAAAAACATACCCAATAAATAAAGTTACAAATGAGAAAGAGAAAACAATTTAAATTAGGTATAAACAATATACAGTAGGTGCAAAGATTCTTATCTCCATAAAAAAGGATATAATAAAAAAATTATACTGTTCATCATCTATTTTAAATGCAATCATGTATTTCCAAAGATTTTATTTTTGTTTCTGCATTTTCAGAGGCAGCCAACATGATCATCCAACAGTTTTCCAAAATGTGCCCTTTTCGTCAAAACTGTATATTATTCCTTTGTTGCTGTTCAAAAATTTGAAATCTGTTTATGGATTGCCAAAGATTTTACTCTATTTATTTGTAAGAGTTATCTCCCTTAGAGTTACTTAGGTCGTCCAATGTTGGTGTTGGTGATAAAGTTAAAATAAACATCTTGCTTGCAACATACATCTACACTATTATAAATTACAAACAGAAGTTGTGTCTGTCTGTCTGTCCGGCTGTCACGACTAAAATACTAAACCGATACAGCCCAAATTAAGCAAAAAGGTGGTCCACATATCTAGGAATGTCATAGGCCTATTCACTTCCTAAATCCCTCTCGGGCTACCCTCCCTTGGAGGTCCAAAGTTTTGAGGTGAGGTTTATTAATTGGTCCCATGGGAGCATGAGAAAATTTACAAACTTTATTTACCTTTGCGTTGACATTTCAATGTAAACAGTCAGAACTGCTAAATGCTTATCCCACAATTTCAGACAGCTGATCCAAACAAATTAAATTAAATATTTTACACAATTATGTGGTAGGTTTTTTTATGGTATTGATTATGGAAATAAAGAAAGATTCTATAGCCGTTAGTTGTGAAAATATGTTACTGATATATTTTAATGTAAACAGTAGCATATTTACAATGTAAGTCATACTTTTTGTAAAAAATTGGTGGCTTTTTGTTTATGAATTCGATCTACTTAACAATAGTGTTTGGATTAGGCGGTATAGTATATCCTCCGGTACAGCAGCTAGTTAGGTATAAAGTACTCATAAATTATATTCATAAATATTTCATGTTGTATTTCATATCTTTCCTTCATATCTTCTTTATGACATACTCATCATCATCATCCCTTCTATTTATTAAAATTAGTATTGATAATTTATTACCACAATTTCTGGTCACCAGTCTTCTTATTTATATTATTTGTGCATTTTGATTCATGTCCTATCCCTATCTTACAATTGTATACCCTACTCCTTCCTCATCACTATTTTTGTAACCTACAAATCTATTATCACTACTAAAGGTTTTCACTTTTCAGGTCACATTAGTTTTCTCTTATCGATGCTATGTTTCGGATTTTTCTCCTATCTACTACTATATGCCCCACGTTTCCCTTGCTTTGCTACAACTGTGTTCTAATCCTCACGATCATAACATTAAATCCAATATCGCTATGATTATCACTACTTCAGGCCACATTAAATTGATTCAAATCAATACCGTGGGATATATTTCTCCTATCACTACTATTGTATATGTCCCACATTTCCCTTATCACAACTGCGTCCAACTCTCCCGATCAAAGATATAAGCTTAAGAGATAGCATTTACAATTCTTATCGCTACTATTATTTATTTATTTATCATAAATACTATGTGAGATACCCTTCTCTTATCATTACCTTACGTCCTTCTTGTAACTTATTACAAAAATATTCTACATCCTCCCTATTAACACTCTAGGTAACCTATAACAAATCAATTATCACTGGAAGATTTCTACTAATCCAGGTTATCAAAACTATTAGTTTCCATCGTATATTTCAATGCCTGCAAAGTTTTACCTCTCCCTTTTTACAGCACCGTACCTCCTCCCCATTCATACTTTGGAATGTGTTATCACTAAAAGTATCACTATTTCAGTTCTCATATTTTCTTATCGATTCTACGTACATATCCGTCTTCTATATCACTACTTGTGCCCACTCTCGACCTAACAACTACTAACCCTGTCTTTTCTATGTTTACATGCGTCAAATGTCTAACTCTACACTTATCCTAGGGATGTCCTATCTTCCTTATCCAAACATCATACCTCTCCTCGCTCCACACATCTCTCTGTGTAACTCCACATGTTCCTGTGAGTCCTGCAGTCCACACACTTCACACCGGTCCAGGAGCGCCACTACCACTTCCTGCACTTCCTGCACCTCCGGCACACACCCGTCACACCCACATCCATGGTCCTCCATGGTCTACTGATCGTCGCGCGCCACGGTAACGCAGGAAGAGCCAATTAGTCTCCCTGCCGAGCCACAATTGAGGCTCAGGTACTGCCTGGGTACTGCCTGCTGCGCCCTTGACCCCGCGGCTTGCATCATGGAACACCGGACCGTCGGACTGCGAACCACCTTGCCGGGGAACACTGGAATGCGAACCGTAGGTCACTGGGACAAAGGCGGACATGATGGGACATAAGTTGTGGAATAAGGATTTAAGGGAATAGGAACACAAGAAAAGTGGAACACCGGATTGGACTGTGAATCACTTGACCAAGGAACACTGGAATGCGAACCGTAGGTCACTTGGACAGAGGCGGACATGATGGGACATAAGTTGTGAAATAAGGATTTAAGGTAATAGGAACACAAGAAAAGTGGAACACCGGATTGGACTGTGAATCACTTGACCAAAGGAACAATGGAATGCGAACCGTAGGTCACTAAGACACTGGACAAGAGGGCAACTGAGACATATAATTTTGGCGGATACGGAAATTAGATTACAGGAACGTAGGACTGTGAAATGTGGTATATCGAATTGCGAGCTACCTTACTAAGGAATACTGGATTGCTAACCACGGGTCAATGGGACACTCGGCTAGAGGACATAAAGTTGTGGATAAGGTTTTTGGAACATAGGAACGAAGGTTTGCGGAACGTGGATTCGGGACCACCGGACCGTGAAACACTTAACCAAGGAACATCCAGATTGTGAACCACGGTCACTCGAAAAAAGGACAAAGGGAGCTGAAAGAACTGAGTTGAAGGTTATGGATTCTGGACTTTAGGAACGCAAAATTTGGGAACGTATAGTACAGGAGCATGAAACAACCAACTATCTAGTAAGGAACACCAAATTGCGAACCGCAAGTTACTAGTACACAAGTATTTAAACAGCTTTGTGGAAGTATCAAACAAATAAAGGAAATGTGAACGAAGCAAAATGTGCAAATTTTGTGAATTTCCTTATGTAACTATAGACCAAACAATATTTTCTTCAAGCAGTTCTTTCTTGCAACCTTGAACCTCTATGGAGTACCTCGAGTAGACTTTATAGACAATAGGCCTATATATTAGTCGGCTTTATGATCTGCCATGTAAAACCAACCTAGTCAGTTCAATAATGCTACGTTCACCAGAATAGACACACGAGCAAAACATGACACTGTATTTTATGATATTATCAACTTTGAAACATGTACAAGCCAAATACGCAGTATTCGGGCTACGAAGTCCGGGATTTGCAAAGGTGTTATTTGCGAGGTAATATTTATGCTTCAGTGATTATACATTCAAGGCCCGCCTGGAGGAGTTCTTATACAAAGGCGCTTCTTCGATGAATCATGGCTGTAAAAAAACAACGCCTATGAATCAATGCCAACATTGCCAACAGTGTAAACATGATAATAAAGTGTTGAAGAATTCACACAATCTGTCTTGTGTATTGGAAATGAATATTTAATCAAGTCAATATTATTTGCTGAAACTGTTGAAGGATATCTTGTAAATATTTCATCCAGTTTGCTGATTTTAGCACCTCTTCTTCGTTTCTCCAATTGCAATCGCTACTACAGGAATTTTCGGGCCGGGATAGTGATTGATAAATAATTGTTTTAGTTTGCTTGTCCAAAGCTTGGGTAAAGTTATTGATTTCGTACTCATCTATTTACATTTCGCTAAAAAGACACTTTACCTTCCCTGTAGCAGCAAACCTATGCACTCAATAACAATAATGTTATCTAAATAGGGAATACAAATGGCATTTCAGTTGAAACCATAGAACTACAACAAGTTGTAGTTGTTGTAGTTGTTTGTTTTTAGTTCTATGGTTAAAACCCAATCTGACGAAAGGAAATCCGCATGGTCTGCAGGTTTGCTGTGGCGGTGGTATTACAGTTTTTACTTCTTACTAACTTTACTACTAAATATTAGTATCGTATCTGATTATCTGCAGATACTCAATCCTCTACAACATAAAACCTTATGATGTTTTGGTCCCCATACCAGTTGCATTTTGAATAAAAGAATCTCAACCGATTTCAAGGGAAACCTGCTTAGACCCCTTAATTTTTTATGGATACGTCGTGTATCGAGCTCATATCTTTCACACCGAAGTCCAAGCGCTAACCCCGAAACTACCAACATAAACTATTCTAATAGGTTCTCGCTACAAACAATTAAACTAAAACTGATCACAGACAGTATAAAACCATTAACATAGCGTCTACTCTTTGCTCTTTCTGACGAGCCATAAGTCAGTTCTTCATGCAACCCAGTTTGGACAACTGTTGTTTTCAAGGTCGACTCTAATGCCAGGTTCCACGTTTGTAATGACCAGTGTTGAAAGTGGGCTACTGTGAATTTTGGAGCTGCTGATCTATTTCCACCCGAAACTGGTAATTCTGCAACCAAATATTTTGACAGTTAGGCTATTTGAAGTCTCAAAAATAAAAGTAACTAAAAAACTACTTTAAAACGAACAAGGATCAAAAATGGGCACTAAATTAAATTGTTGAAAAAGATGCAAAAAACTTTTGTTAAGAAAATTACCGTACCCAATTCATGCAGGTTTCAAGTAATTTTACTTTTAAGTGTTCGTTAATAATTGGTATTTGACATGTGGTCGTAACTGACACTACTTAACCAACGTGTTCTTCAGATACAAAATAGTTTTCCTCATAAGCAGTGTTAAAGCCAGGTAACAATGTAAAACTAAAATTTAAACCCCCAAAAATTTTAGTTGTACTTGTTTTAGTATTCACAATTTCCTAACATGTCTTAATCCACTATGTCTTACAACTTATTTTAACATAACACGTAAGATTTATTAGTTTCTGAGGGTTAAGAGAAGAGCTAAATTTCAATGTAGGAATAATAAGCTAATTGTAATCCCTTCAAATACGTCAATAATTATTAGGTAAATAAATTCTCCGTGACGAATTAATAGTACTTTAACAAAGAGATTGGCTTAAAAATATTAAGTTTAAATTAAATTTAAATGTTTGTATTAAATTTCAAATAAAAAAAAAACAATTAAAATGCTGTTATGATTGTTAACTCCCAACGTGACTGAATTGAATAGTTTATTCTTTGGAATTTGAAGAAAACTTTTTGTGCAATCAAAGTTTTTAAGATCAAGAAAGAGCAAGGCAATGTTATTGTTGGTAAATTAACTAAAACGCCAATTAATTTGTTTCGAAGTACATGCTACCTAAGTTCATGATACATGTACATGTGTCAACTTGTTATAAATGCCCTTAGATTTTTAAGAATTTATGCAAGTTTGGCCATAAAAATATTTAATCCCTTATAATAGTAATGGGTTTGGTCATGAAAGTATTTAATCACTTATAACTGGCAACTTGTTCCCCATACGTTTAATTCCGGAACAGTAAATATACCAAACAACTGATAAGTATGAACAATGGTGTGAACGTATACCAATCAAAATTCTGCATTAAAAATCTGTAGAAGTTCCAAAATGTTAATTTGAGTTAAATAGGTAATGTTAAAAAATACAAATACCCCCGCCACAGCAACCTACAGACTAAGCAAATTTCCATTCATCCGGCTGGATTTCTAGTTTCTACTAAAATATTCCCTAAAAATTGCCAGATTCATTTCATATTTAAATAACATTAATTTTGGTGAGTACTTAGGTTTGCTCCTACGGAAAAGATACTAAGGTGTGCTTTTTTTAATGTTGATAGCTTAGTATGAAAAAACAAAATTGCTAAATTTTATTAAAATATATCCATAAACAAGCAAACTACAACAGTTTATTTATTCTCCATAACAATGACATGAGAATTTAAAATTTAATTTTTTAACTATCTCCGTAACCGTTGGGCATACAACAACGCTTCAACATACAAAATTATTTCTTTTTTTAAGCTCTACAAAATGGTTTGAGGGGAAATTATATTTTTTTGTCAAAAATGGGAAAAATCAATTTTTACTCCATAAAACCCCCGTAATCCCCCGTTCCCATTGTCCGATTATGCTGGTTCGCAAACTCGTTTACACATTTGTACAACATTTCATCAAAATCAGATCATTTTTGCTCGAGTTATCGCGCTAACGGATATATACATATGAATTCGAACGGATGGTGTTTTTGGCCTCTGGGAACCTCAAAACGAAAAAGTAAATCGGTCCCGGGTCTAAGTCTTACCACGCGACTTACAGTAATAGCTTATTCCCTTTATGGGAAATTCGCTAAAACACTTTAATAACAAGAATTTAAGTTAGCATTCAAGTTCCTTTACTAGTAGTCCACAGGATGCCTTGTTAAAGAGCTGCATTGCCTTGGGCTCGTTAAAGTTGGACCTTGCTCTGTCGATTTACTTCTTCAATCATTCCACATCTAAACATCTGCTACGGTTATAATAGTACCCAAGGTATAACCCAAGGTACATTATAACAGGTTCCCTAACTTGTACTAATTAATGTACTGCATGTTCAGTTAAGGTATGGTTAAGTAGTTTAACCTTATGAAACATTAGTTGCGAAGTGGTTAGCGTGCCTGCCTTGAAAGCCAAAGGTAAACCGGTTCGATCTCGGGAAACGGTCAGAAAATAAATGTGTTTTGTGTATGTGTATGTGATAACACTGATGTTTTATTTATTCTAACAGTAACCCATTTTCTTAATTTGATTAATATTCCTACAAGAATAATAAGCCATATACTATGTCGAACTGGTTAAATATAATTATGATTGAAATAAATTATTTTTTGATTAACTATACATTTTTATCATGAAAAGTACAATTGATTCATCTCTTAAAACTGCAATAAACAATACATCTACGTATAAAATATAATAATGAATAGATTACTAGCTGTGTGAATATCTATAATTAAATTATCCATCAATAAAATAGATTAGTTGGTTGTTATTACTGTAAAAGTTATTTGAAATAATATTTTTTTGTTTTACACATAATGGTGAGGAATAACTCTTTGACATAATTTTAGCAT